CAACATACCAAGTAAACGAAACCACCGCAAGAGCTGCATGACCATGAAATGTAAACTATGACATTCATGACATACATTTCATGATTTTCATGTTATGACTAGTCAAATCTGTTCTTCCTACAGTCATGTTATGTCATACCAAGGTTGGCATTATACCATTATCGAAACAGCCACGATAGGTAAAATTCGAAGGTGGCTAGATAGATAGATAGATACGCTCAAAGTCGCCGAAGTTCGCTAAGAAATGCTTCGCATTAAAAAAACAAAACTGACAGATCCCACGTACAGTGAGAGTATATATTATACGAAGCACGAATGAGAAGCCCCGCCATGGTTGTCTGCTGACTAATGTACTCGGCTGCTGATCCGCAGGTCGTAGGATCGAATCCCGGCTGTGGCGGCTGAATTTCCGATGGAGGTGGAACTATTGTAGGCCCGTGTACTCAGACTTGTGGGCACGTTAAGGAACCCCAGGTGGTCGAATTTTTCGGAGCTCTCAACTACGGCGTCTCTCATAATCATATGGTGGTTTTGGGACGTTAAACCCCACAAATCAATCAAATCAATCAAACAGCATGAATGATAAATATCGATATGTCACTTTAAAATCGGCACAGTGGTACGAGCCTCAGGTTAAATATGCTGTACATGACCTACGTGTAACAATTATCATGCATGTTTGAATGTGTCGTTTGCCTTCGTCCTCTATTAGTCACGTGATACCAAATTTAGTATATGTGGAGCAAGCGCTATGGCCACGAGCACGCTATGAGTGTGGTATGTTGTCGTGTTCTTACATTCCATGCTTTTCTGGATTATAATGTTTGCACAAGCCATGTGCTTTCGCCATTCATTGAGGTCCTTAACACCAAATTTCGTATATGTGGAGCTTGCGAAACGGCCGCGACGGCATCATGAATGGCTCAATGGGAGTGTTCCCAGGTAGCGTTGACGCGCGCGCATGCTGGGCACAGCGACGCTACGTTAGCAAAACGCGATCACTGTTTATTCTGACGCCTAGTGCGACCGGCGTTCATTAGCACAGCCCGACGGCAACCGGCGGCAGATGCGACATGCTGCGGTTCGCGCTGACGCATTACCCAGACAACACTGCGTCTTACTCTTTTCGTGACGGAGGGACGCTCGACGTGCTGAAACGCGCATGCGTCAAAGCAACAGAGCACAGCGCACGCCTGCGAGTACATGGCAGGACCCGCACTCGGCGCCGCAAGACCAGCGAGCACGCACACCGCGTCACGTAGAGAAGTATTGGTGCCTTGACTGTGGCATGTAGTCATGTTCTCACATGACGTGCATCTTATGATTACCATATTCGCACCAGTCACATACCTTCTTCATTCATTGGCGTCACGTAATACAAAACTTGGCATGTGTGAAGCTAGCGAAGCGGCCGCGAGCGCATTATGAGTGTGGCATGTAGTCATGTTGTTACATGACACGCATGTCGTGATTATCATGTTTGGATGTGTCATTTACCTATGTAATCCGTTCGCGCCTCGTAATACCGTGTTTAGTACATATGGAGCTAGCAAAACGTTCACGAGTGCATCATGAGCTTAGCATGTAGTCATGTTGTCACATGACACGAATCTCATTATTATCATGTTTGCACCACTCTCATACTTTCGTCATCCATTCACGTCCCCTTATACCAAATTCAGTATTAGTGAATCTAGCGACACCGCCGCCAGCGCATCAAGGGCGTGGCATATAGTCATGTTTTTACACGACGCGCATCTGATGATTATCATGTTTGTAACAGTCACATGGCTTCGTAATTCATTCGCCCACCGTAATACCAAATTTGACATATGCGAAGCTAGTAAAACGATCACGAGAGCATCATGAGTGTGGAATGTAGTCATGTTTCATGACACGCATGTAATGTTTATTATGTTTGGTTTTTGGGTGTCTCGTTTACCTACGTCTCCCATTCAGGTCCCGTATCACAAATTTTGGTATGGGTGAAACCAGTGAAAAACCGCGAGCGTATCACGAGCGTGGCATGTATTCAGGTTGTTAAATGGCACGCATTTCATGCTTTTCATGTCAGGGTCTGTCGCTTGTGTTCGCCATGCAATCATGTCATGCCATACAAGTTTTGAAACTTGCCATGTGAAAATCCATCGCAAAAGCTTCAGGACCATGAATTGTATATCATGACATTCATCACACACATGTCATGATTTTCACGTCATGATTAGTCAAATATGTTCTTCATATTGTCATGATATGCCTTACCAAGTTTGGTATCAATACCATTATTGGGACGGCCTGGAGAGCTAATTGTCGTAGGCGGCTAGATAGATAGATAGATAGATAGATAGATAGATAGATAGATAGATAGCTAGATAGATAGATAGATAGATAGATAGATAGAAATATAGATAGATAGATAGATAGATAGACAGATAGATAGATAGATAGATAGATAGATAGATAGATAGACAGATACGCTCAAAGTCGCCTAAACTCGCTAAGAAATGCTTCGCATTGAAATATAGCTACCCTGTTTACGAGGTTCTCCTAATGAAGTGGGTACCACAATCTTGGAAGAAGGCTGACATCCCCGTAATCCATAAGAAAGTGAACGGCAAGAACTTGAGGAATTACATTTAGCTTCTCTCCATCGTATTAAAGCTATTCACTAGGCTAATTGCTCACAGAATCAAGACAAAAGTAGCATTGAATCAACCAAAGGAACAAGCAAGATTTCGAACAGACAATTCACGAATCGACCTTATTCAGACTATCAATCAGGTGATACAGGAATGCTCAGAATACAACTAACCACTTTACATAGCCTTCCCTATTACGAGAAGGCATTTGATTCATTACAGATATCAGCAGTCAGGCCAACACTGCGGAATCAGTGTGTCGACGATACAGTGTAAACGTCTTGGATGTAATCAACAGAGGATGAACTGTGCTCTATATAGTTCTTTATAAAGAAAGTGACAGAATACCAATCAAGAAAGTTGTAAGACAACGGGATACATTCTTCACAATGCTATTTACGGTGTGTTTACAGGAGGTTTTCAGAGGCCCAAAAGGAGAAGAGTTAGAGATAAGTGTTAATGGAAAGTACCTTAGTAACCCGCGCTTCGCCAATGACATTGCATTGCTGAGTAACTCAGGGGATGAACTGCAATTCATGATTACTCAATTACACAGGAAGAGCAAAAAAGTAGGTCATAAACTAATCTGCAGCAAACCAAAGGAAATGTACGACAACCTCGGAAAAGAACAGCGCTTTGAGATAGATAGCAGTGCTTTTGAAGTTGTAAAAGAGTACGCATCTCTGTTTAGGACAGGTAATTACCGCGGAGCCTAACCAAGAGATTTAAATGACTGGAAGAAGAAGAGTGGGGTGAGCACATTTGGTAACCACTCTAAAATCATGATTGTAAAAATGCCACTATCCCTCAAGAGGAGGGTATGTATCAGCTGCACCTTGCCGGTACTTGGCTATGAAACAGGAACCTGGAGACTTACAAAGAGGGTTTAGCTTAAATTGAGGACGACGCAGTGAGCGATGGAAAAGAAAATGTTAGCTGTAACCTGGAGAGACAAAAAAAAAAGCAGAATGGATCAGGGAACAAACCTGGGATTTAGGTTTATATAGTTCAAATCATGTAGAGGAAATAGACATAAGGTGGGCATGCCGCGCGCAGGCAGAATAACTGCTGGTAAGTGAGGGTAACTGACTGAATTCCCAGAGAAGGCAAGCGAGTGAGGGGGAGACATAAAGTTAGTTGGGCATATAAGAGGAGGAAGTTTGCGGGTATAAAGTGGCAGCAGCAAGCACAGTACCGAGTTGAGTGGAGGAACATCTGAGACGCCTTTGCTCTACAGTGGACATAGTCAGGCTGATGACGAGGATGATAATACTGCAAGGTTGAGTAATAGCGGCTGAAATATCAAGCGCGTGGCAGATGCCCTGCGCTTTGACGCGGCTTCCACAGTGGAGGAAGCCCAGCGGAGGAAGCCCAGTGACGTGACACGGGAGTTCAACGCTAAAGGCTCCCACTCCTCTCATGTCCTCGCATGGCGCTTTGGATACTCTCCCTATTCTACGTCACTCCAGCCGCAGAGAAACACGTCACGTTCCCGCCATCTTGGAGGCCATAATTGGGAGTCACATAGTCAGCGAGGCCACCGCTGAAGACCGCCACGAGTCCACACTCTCATTCACGGTCGCACTCTAAATAAGGGACGAGTTTGAAGATACATGAAGACACAAACAAAAAGGGCTGAGTTGTAGTGACATGTGCGTGACATAGCTTGTTTTACCCTTGCCATCCTTCCGACCCTAATTTTCAGCATGCTTGTTGAGAGAAAACCCACAGAAAGCAATTGCAGGATTCGACCTATTTCTTATTGTACTCGACCGATTCTGAAAAAACTTTCGTGGCAGTTCATTTGTCAGGCAATAGACATCTTCAATACTACAATTAGATTGCAACTTTTGACAGTGTATACCAGAAACACATAACAATATTCGAAGGGGGCGAAATGTTTCCGTAAAAAAACCAGCGTCACGTACATTCTGAAAGCAGATCATAGGACTTAGAATGGTGATATGAGCATAAGAACGTCGGAAAGATGAATATTGGTCACTTAGACGGACAGGATGAATGCCAAGGGAGGAGAGATGCCGCTGAGCACACTGGATTTAGCTGTCACGCATTAAAAATTCGCAGGCATTACATGTATAGAGCACATACAAGACACGTGAAGTCAGATGTCAAGTGAACATGTCTTGTCGACACAAGTTTTCCTGAATAGGACAATCAGTACGATGGTGAGCATGCCAGTAAACTTAGGCTGATCCAAGTGCCTGATTACATGGCTAAAAAACACTTCCTTCTCACTGAAGCTCTTGTTCACTGTGATTATCACACGAAAGAGCGTACGACAGCCTCTATTGTTACCAAGATTTACGTACAGTAAATGTTATTTTTTAAAGATGAACTTACCTGCAGAAGATCCTTTGAGTTTCGTCTGCGTCTCGAAGTGCTGCTCGTCGCAATGCAGAGGCGATTCCACCGCACAAAAACTTTTGCTCGATGCAGTTATGTATCTGTTCTAATTCACACTTATCACTCATATTTTGTCCACCTAGAAATTGTGTTGAAGAATAACGAAATTCCTCGGTTAGAACTAGTGCAAAAGTGAATCGGTATTCATTTTTCGAGAATATATGCGAACGTGTGCCTTAGTCACAACATAGGAATAATGTCTATCAGATGGCAATAACAAAATTGCAATTTTTATAATATACCATCAATTAAATGACCATGTATTAAAACTGTGAGCCATTCCACTCCATGAAGGCGGATGAGAAGTTAGTCTTCTATATATAATAAGTATTTCCCTCATAGGTTGCTTGAAGTAGGATGACAAGTAACATTTGAGTGCACGGCGGACAACTTCGAGTTGGTGCAGCCCACGTGAAATCACTTTCTTCACTATAAATATAGGTGCTAGACTGCACGATGGGTACTACCAGTGCCTCAAAACTTCACGCCTTGAGACAGCTACTGTACTGCGCCGGAACGATGCCTTCCTGCTTTACCATTTATGGCTAGGAGGGTTTTTTTATTTGTTCATTTGTGTAACATTATAAGATTGTGATGGTGCTAGTGGCCAAAGGTTAAGCTGAAAGAAACGTTACCTGACATAGGCCTCTAGCACCATGCATGCATTCATCGCGCATATGCTCACATGCACGAGGTAAATATTTTAGAAACTGAACTAGTACACGTAATAAAAATGACATGCAGACAGAGGTGGAATTCCGTAACATAGAAATGTGACTACAACTTAAACAAGTCAAATCATATACAGTAATAATGGAGCAATAAATTATGCACAAGCAATAGCACACAACAGAATTACTGAGCTCACTACTGATCAACTGCAATGGAATTAGATAACACAAATTGGAACTACTAAATAAGGAAATAAGTAATAAATAACAGAATGAAGCTCTCTAAGGGTAAACAATAAAATTGTTGTTTACAAGCACTGTTGTGAATAGCGCCGGAGCTGACCAGGGAGCGGCGCTCTTTGGATCTTCAAACAAGTAGCCGACAGGCTAGCTGCCAAATACCGCCAGGCAATGTCCCTCGTAGCCGGAGGGTTAGACGCCGTGTCGCCACGACACCGTAAGCCGTTAGAAAGTGGACAACAAGTACAGCATCTTCCTTGAAAGAGACCGCGGCGGCCACCACAAATAGCCCCGCTAATTGAGCGAAGAGATCGGCGGACCATTTGATGTATGCTGTTTTGAGCTTGGGACCCCTCGACCAGCGGCACACACACGACGAGGGAGAGCCCCGCTGGCGCCACTTTCAATGCAGTCATCACGACTAATTATTGGACGTCCACGTGAGCCGTGCATGCTTGTCCCCCTCACCTGTTGTGTGTCAACTGTGATTGGACAGTAGCATCTGTACGTGTTCCCTGATCTAGGGATCTGGGGAGAAGATACCCTTTATAATGAGTCGCCCGGCTCATTCGAAGGAGTGCCATGTAGAGAAACGCCAGATTCGAAAGCTCGCCATGGAAGAAAGAGCTACTCATTTACGAGAACTCACTTTGTACATAATGTAAATAAACCCTCATCAATTCTAGCTTCATCCTGCCTCGACAACTTCATTTCGGACCTCCAGTGTCTGCAAACCCCGGTCGTAACAACACCAAAATCAAGAAAATATTTTTTGAATGGCTGATGGCTGTCATCGCGATATATGCATGTGATAGATGATATTAAATATATGGGAGTATTGAAAACCTGTATAGTATTAAACTATAATCCACAATCTGGTCCAGTCTTTAGTATAACAAATGCCGAATGTCCAAAGTAATACTGAGTGGAAGTATTGTTATAAGTAGATGGAAATCTTTCGGAATGGGCTTTCACGATGCCATTTTTTCGAATCGAAATCGCTGACAACCATTTTTGTGACTACTGTAGTAATGAAGAGAAAACACTTGCAGTTGCTCTAGCTTACATACATAGAAGACTGCTGACGGCAAACATCATTCTTAAATTTGGATTTGAGAGGTTATCATGGTAGAACGTGACTATTGCAGTGCTGGAATTTTTTAACACATCAAACTTGTACAAGTAGCTATAGCTCAATGCCGTTATCATCTATGTGAGGGGTTCGACATTGTGCGTGCGTGCTATCTGTGTCTTTCTGTTTTGTTCAAAGTTCATCTTTACAACTCCCCATTCCGTTCGCCAGTGTAGGACAGCATACCAGTTCTGTACTGGTTCACATCCCGGCATATCCTTTCTCTCTTGTTCCTTGTTTCGTAAACTTTCGTTGCACAATAACAACTACAGTGCAAGTACATGAAGCACTTAGCAAGCACGTATACGCTTCAGTAGTAGGGGTATCTGTACATCTCAGCGTGGTTACCCCATTACTTATATAAAGAAATATACTGCCACCTGTAGAGCCATGCTAAGTGTCGTGGTTAGGTTCGTCACGTAGCAAGGCGTGTGACGCGAGAAAGATGGAGACAGTGAGGAAACAAAAGGGTGTTTTATTGGACGAACAAAAAATAACTATTGCACATACAGTACTATAAGTCGTACACGCACGCAGTTCACACACAAAAGAAAAGAGTAAACAGTCTCACAGTCTGTGCCGTAGCCCGGTGTCTTGAAGTGGGACCCGTTGCGTGCTCGGATGCTGTCGTCGCTTGGGTTCCAGGTCAGCATACCTATGTAAGGGGCATCACCAGGTGTAGGCGTGTTGTGTCGTGGCGCCACCTGTGAGTGGCGCACGCACTGAGTGCGCCCTAGTGTGTACTTCTTCAACAGATGTCGTCTCTAACGGTACACACGTGATTGCATGCAGCCAATCGCGTGTCTGTTGTGTGTCGTTCAATAAACGGCCGCTGGCCGGCTCAATCTTTGTTGGGTTCCCGCGGGCTCCGGTCAACTCACTTCTACTGCGCGTGTCGGGGGCGCGCGCCGGCCAGGGGCGGCGCCAGGGGGGGCAAGGGTGGGCTGGAGCCCCCCCCAAAATTCTCGCCTGCCCCCCCTATGCCCACCCAGTGCCCGGAAGCATATATTGAAAACCTAGTAGGAGCAGAGCTAGCTTGCCCCCCCGGAGGAACTCACCTTTTCGTGGTTGCCCCCCCCCCCCCAGTAAAAACATCCTGGCGCCGCCCCTGGCGCCGGCGCACGTTGCGTCTCGCGTTCAGTCGTCGGGCCCTCGCTGTCGGACGCCGCTCGCTGACAACAAAATTGCGACGAGGATGTTCTTCGCCTCGGTTCCTACCATGGCAGAAACAACCCGCGTCTGATGCGTCTGGCGTCCACGAGGCCTAGCGCTCTTTGTGTGCAGACTCTGGCAAGCTCTCGCCTAGGCCTTCGCCCTTGCTCTGCTCCACACCTCTTTGTACCACCTCTCCTGTCGGCATGGCTCTCTTCGAGCACCCTCTTATCTTCCTCCAGCTGCCGGGGCCGCCCCTGGTTCCGTGGACTCATTGGAAAAAAAAATGTTTCAGGCCCACCTCGAGGCGGCCGGTGGCAGCGACTGGAATGACGTGCGTCGGCGCTCGTCAGCCTGCTGGGACGGGAAGGACAGCGGAGGTATTTCGCGGCAGCCGAACAGGAAGAAGCCCGACACGAGACGAGCAATGCGGCGTCTACTCCGAGCAACGCCGTGCCAACTACGCCGGCGTCTGACCAAGATTCTTCGGCTCCGGCCGTTACAAAGTATGACAGTCTCGTCAAGCAGCTCGACCGGCTTTTCGCCGCGTCCACCAACCCGCTAGTTGAACGTCACGAGTTCACTAGTCGTCGTCAACTCTCCGGCGAGAGTTTCCTCGACTACGTGACAGTCCTGAAGGAGAAAGCCATACGATGCAAGTTCGGGCTCACGTACGCGGAACGCGTCCGCGATCAGATTATTCACGGCTCATCCAACTTGCGGGTGAGAGAGAAGCTGCTGGCATACGGCGAAGAGTTGTCCTTGGAGAAAGTGAAAGAAGTTGGTCGGACGCTCGAAGCATTGTGCTTGGCGAACCAAGCGTGTGCTCCCAGTCAACCTGAACCTGTCGAAGCTGTTGGGCAAGACGCCCAATATGGCGGCGCGAAGAGAAAGAATGGCCGCACCAGTCGGGGAGGCCGTGACGTCACGTCACCAGGTCCGGGAGGCCAAGATGGCGACTTTCAGCCGCAATCGTCGTCTGGGTACCATGCTCCAGTCCCAAATGAGAAGTCTCAAGGCGACTTCCAACCTCAATTGTGCGACCGCTGCGGAAGTAGACGACACCACTCAAGTTTTCGAAATTGTCCAGCCCGAAGTCGACGTTGCAATATGTGCAACGCCTGGGGACATTTCGCGTCGATGTGCCGCAAGACTGCCCCTGTACAGCGCGTCTCCTCGAGGGGAGCTGTCGACGTCGTACCGGAGCAGAAGGCCTCCACTCAGTTGAACTCAACTTCAAGCTCATCAGTGTAATCTGCGGATCGTCCTTTGTTGTCCGTGCTCACAGTTAGCACCTCATCCAGAAAAGACTTAGTCGTCCAGGCTGTGGTCGATGGTGTTACCCTGCGACTACTGGTGGATACAGGAGCGTCTGTATCTTTGATGAATGCAGAAGACTTTCAGCATCATTTCCGCAAACAGCACAGCCTGTCCAAAGCTGTAGTCGACTTGCGAAACTTCTCCAAGCAGCGCATATGGATCCTTGGCTCCTTCCAAGCTCCTGTCAAAGTGTTGCAGTGGTCTTGCTCCGTGGTCTTCTACGTCATCGATAAGGGTACATCGCTTTTGGGCCTTGACGCCATTCGGCGACTGGGCATCCACATTGACGGCGCGTCGTTGACGTGTCGACTCGCATCATGTGAAGTGCAGTGTCCCTCCAACGTGCCTTCGGGCTTCGATCAGCCCTTCAGCTACGTGTTGGGTCTCGTCAAGGGTTTCATTCATCGCATTCAACGGCGGCCAGGTGTGACTCTGGTTGCATCCAAGCTGAGACGTCTTCTTCTGGCTCTTCGCGATCAGGTGGCGACCGAGTTGCGACGACTCGAGGACTCGGATGTCATCGAACGCGTCGACGCTTCCAAGTGGGTCTCGCCGCTCGTCGTC